TAACTCTAAGACCAGAAGATCCCGAAGAAACGAGCTCAATTTTTTGGCTCAGCTCTAGTACTATCTTCGGTCCCAAGCTAATCGATGCACCCCTCGAAACATAAAAAAATTCACGAACTCCTCATTTTATCTGTCAAACTTTCATAGCGAATCAAAACAAACATAGTGTACCTAACTAACAATTTTCGTAATGTAAACGCTTCACTGATTTCATTTATACAGCCTCAAGCTGTATTCAAATATTATACAATACGAGGAAACCTTTACTCAACCTCTACACACTTAAATTTTTTCGCCGAGATTCCAACAGCCGAGTAGTTCTGCAATTTATTTTACTGAGATTCAGTAAAACAATTGCCGAGACTCAGCTAACAAACATCATTTCGCTGAGATATCAGCTAACAAACAGATATTTTGCAGATATATCAGCAAAAGTAAATGCCGAGGTAATCGGCTGTTGGTGATTTAACCGAGCTAGATTAAGTGTGTATACAAGCAAATCTGGCGAAGTTAGTCTGCTACTTATTGCTGTTGGGACGGTTGGGACCAGCTCTTATTGCATATCTTTTTACGCTTCTATACAGCTGTTATCCTGCTGTTTAGTTATTTGTGAACTTGAAAGGCGCTTACTCAACCTTTACCCGATTTTATCCAATAATCTCTACACAGCATTCTCTTGACACCAGGTTAAATATTGTTTACGCTTCTTTTTGTTGGAGAAATTTATCATGTTTATTATACTGCGAATCAAATTGAATCGAAGCAACACCACTAAATTATTTACAATGTACCGGAACCTGGAATCGAACTCGAAACGACCGCATTGGCGAACCTTGATACTACCAACTTTGCAACACCAACACTTTGAACTGACGTAAACAAATTTACATGCCCTTCTACAACAAGATCGCTGAGTAGCGGCTTTATAATATGTAGTACACATGAATCACTTTTCTCTACTAGTTACTTCATCTTTGTAAAGAAGCAGAGTAAAAACTGTAAAACTGCACAAGTCTAAAAATAAACCTAGTTGACTGTAAAATAGCTTCCAAAGTAACGCTAACACAGTTTATTAGTTCAGAACAGGTTGTTTAGTTGTTGAAAAAGCACTTTTGATGTATATGTTATTCAGCAAGAGTGGTTGGTTGTGTAGAAGCCATCAAATAAGTAATATGTTAGCTTTATTAGCTTTGTTTTGAACCTAAAAGTTTAAAGTTGATTAATATTTGCATAGAAGTGACATTAACGTTTGTTGGGTGATGTTATTCAGTGCGACTGACAAATTGAATAATGGTTGTGAAAAAGTTGAGTAAACGCTCTCCAAAACTATTTTGCTTGCTTCTGCTTGTAGCTGTATCTGCAGCTTTATTTCAGCTACTTTACAGCACAACGCTGGAAAAGTTGAAAATGTTAGTTGGGTACTACTGGAATTTATACTAGAATGGGGTACGTTAATCGATTTGCTTAGGACCAATAGGCTAGTCAAGTAGTGAGCCAATTTAAAATCATTAGTTTCGAATTGATTGTTGATATTACTGCTAACACATAGGGGAAATAACTCTAATATTGGTCTAGACCAGTGATGGCCAAAGTGCGGCCCGCGGAATTAAGGTTGATCAATCTTTTTCTTATCAGGTCCTGATAATTCTCTCAACATTTGAGCTCATTTGGATGCGAACTCATACAGCACTGGCCCTTTCTAGTTTATATGGGAATTACTATGGGAAATGTGAACTCTTTGTTCGCAAAGTTCTAGCCTTTCACCGTTATGATAAACGGCAAAGTTTACTATCTGTACTAATGTGAAATTTTCCGCACTACAACTTTGCTCACCAGTGTTCACTCAGCTGTCGACAGAATCAGGCCACTCTCGATGTGTGTTACGCGATCGTATGTTTACTCGGCAGCAACCATTGTGTGGTCCTCCTCATTGTTCTTCATCAGCAGTTCTTTTGGTCGATGCGTCGTCGATTTTGGAAAGCAATCGTTTCGTGATGAGTTTGTGAGTGCTGACCACGTTTTGCGTCCATTGCTGATGGAGGCGGCTTTTTGGATAGCGGGGATAAAGTGTTTATTGTGTTGTACCTTTTGACTATAGGATTAAGATGTTTTGCATAGTGAACAAGAATTCTCGACTCTGCAAAGTTAATTCGATTGAGCCTTATCCAATGAATTAATGAACAAAAAACGCTTTGCTCACGACCACATTTCAATTGATCGCCAGGATAATTCATTCTAAATTTATTACGAAGATGATGTTCTTCTGGTATTCTATATAAAAAACCGCGATATAGGGGAAATGTACGTAATGTCGGCCTAAGTGTCCCTAATTTGGGCCCATACATAAATTCAGCAATCGACTAAATTTTCAATAGCAGCCAAAAATATCCATTAGTAACGTCCCAATAACGCGTTCATCTAGATAAAATTGATAAATAGCAGTTTTTTAGAGATGGGCCCAATCTTAGATCCATAGGCCAACATTAGAGACATTTCCCCTATTTAAATAATCCTTGTTATTTAAAAATTTGCCATAACTTCTAAGTCCTGAAAACCTAGACATTTTTGCTCCTGATAAAGTTCATCTGGAGGTCAAGCGCTTCCGGATGATCAGTTCAGATCATTTCGGAATTTTCTCACAACGCAGCGGAAGTGTAAACACTAACGTATTGTATCTGGAAATCGTAACCAGCTTGAAAGCGGCTGGTTTCAACAGAGTTGTTCCCGTAGCTAAGGTCTTCCGAATAATGAACAGTAAAGCTTGGTACATACATATGTGTATGAATTCTATATCTACGTTCCTCCTCCGGATTGGTCGAGTACCCGAGCGTAGCCCTGGTGGTGAATGCCATCATGAAGTACAACCACAGCGCGATCGATCACAAATGCACAAAATTTCCGTTTATTATCCTCCTCCAAGAAAATGACCGGTGCGTGGAGCAACGAGAACATCGAAAACACGTTAGCTTCCTTTTTTTCTGAGAAAAGAAAGGATTTTCCTTTTTCTGTGTAGTTAATGTTATCATTCGTAAATATAATTTCTTATTGTGTTAGTTGGAAGTGCAAAAAGGCAGGAGAGTACAAATAATGTGTTGAACTATTTGAAATTTTGCCAAGATGGTCCTCCAACACGTTGGACGATGGAACGGTTGGTGTAGCAGTAACCGCCATGGATGTATTCGAGCAGTTCGAATGGTATAGTTTTTGTTTGGTTGTTGACTTTCCGATTAAAACTCAAGCACTGCTTGTCGTGACCGGCCCGAGATTTCCAGCGTCGGCCACGGCTACACGAATTAGCGATGCAGCTCCCACGGCTGCGGCTGCTTCCAATGCTTGCTGCTGCTGTTCCTTCTGCTGGTCCGTCTCCTCTAAAATTCATAAAAAAGACGGACCAGCAGCAGCATGCAAGCAGCCGTGGGAGCTGCATCGCTAGTTCGTGTAGCCATGGCCGGAAACCTCGGTCAGGTCAAGATATCGCTGTCAGCTGTTCTTCGTCTGGGAGGAAATGTGGATGCGACTGCCGTCACGGGTGTAACGATTTTGAGAATCCATGGCGAGACTTGGTGGAGATTCACGGTTGCTTTGAAAATAATTTGATTATATTGTGGCAACATCAATAACAACTTTTGACGTAAGCTCAAAAAAAGGTTAGTGTTGCCAGTAACTTTAAAGATCATAAAAATTGTAACCATGGGTGCCAAACAGCGTCAATGACGACGCCCGGGTGTGCCAACGCCAAATAGCAAAAAAATAAAAGATTTTCTGATTTCATCTCAGAATTCTACGAAACTTCGAATACAATTGCAATTGTTCCGTAGGGACAATGAACTAGGTTTGTGCTGGAATTCGGCCATTTTCACGCTCGCCACGTTGCAGATGTTTTGGAGCGGTCACATCAGTTTGTACGGAGATCAGTCTGTCTGATCTTGATCTTTGAAATCCATCAATAAAATATGCACTAGGGTGCTTCATTCTGAAAAAAGTGATGAATTTCTGATGGGCCACCCTCCAGTTCGATTCATAGCCCCAAAATATGAACCTGTGCAAAAATTGGTAAAGATTGATGAAGGTTTAGAGGTCGCGCCAATGATTTGAAATTTGTATGGGAATTACTATGGAAGAATTTAAAAAATCGCTTATATCGCTATAACTTTGCTTCTACTTGTCCAAATGTCGAAAAAATTTAGTATGTTATTGCTATGGCAATAAACAAAAAGCCTACAGTTGCTACGCTCAGTTTTGCAGCGTATCAAGAATTATAAAAATGTGAAAAAATGGCAAAATAGGGTAAATTGACAGATGAATATGTACAAGGCAACAACGCCAATTTCATCGCAACAACAACAGGCTTGTTGATCATTGTCATGACAACCACATATTTTTTTTTTTCAACGTTTGGACAACTACAACCAAAGTTAGAGCAATGTAAACGAAAATCAATAATTTCCCATACTAATTCACCAAAATCTCCATACAAAATCCAAATCATTGGCGCGACCTCTAAACCTTCATCAATCTTTACCATTTTTTGCACAGGTTCATATTTTGGGGCTATGAATCGAACTGGAGGGTGGCCTATCAAAAATTCATCACTTTTTTCAAAATGAAACACCCTAATATGCACGTTCCGAAAATACCTATATTTTAAGTTTTTCACAAACCCGTCCATTGCTCCCTTCATCAGAAAACACAAGTTTTTTGCTCTTTAACAGCATTATTTAAAAAATTGTAAAAAATATGCTATTTGAAAAAAAAACCGCGTTATTTTGAAAGTTGTCGTAAATAAAAACATTTAGGAGAATGATCAGGACCTGATTGGGAATCGATTGACCTTGGTGGAGCAATATCGATATTTAGAACCACCCTAATAAAGTTGTGCTCCTTTAATGAGTCGAAACCTGTAGGCACCGATGGCCAACAAGTTCAAACCCACAAGCATCAATCAATCGCCACATTTGCTGAACCCCGGAGATACTGAATTTAGAAAAACGCCGTACTGCTTTCTGTTTAAGGTCACCATTGTTTATTCTAAAACATACGAAAACGTATTCATAAATTAATGGAATGTTTTCAACGAGCTGCAATATATACATTTTCAGAGTTGTGTTCAAAAATCTTATCGGTAATAATACTTATCGCTAGTTAATATACACCTAGTGCTATCGTAGAAATTAAGAGTAATAAAAAAAAATATTCTCACAAGTAGCCAATCATAGAAGTTCGAAGCAGACCTCCACAAGTTTGCAGTATATTTTCTCAGTGGCTCAGATAGAAGATTGAACTGTCTTAAATTCTCACTCCGAAGGGAGTGCAATTAGCGTCGGTTCCGATGGTTATTAGAAACGTTGTCATTGCCTGTTGTCGTGTATGTTGTGATCACCATTGCTTTTCGGATTATCGATTATCGTTAATGGTACGGCTTCCAAGTTTCGACTGATTTGATGGTTTTGCTCAACCTTGTTTGGTTTTTTGTCCAGTAGTACGCTGGTGATGTTGTTGTATTCGGATCTTCCCAGAGATTCCAGTAATTTTCTCTGTTTCTTCGTTCGTTCCTTCTGGAAGAATAACCGGATGTAGTATACTGGGAATACGACGCATTGGCCAGCTGGCTCCTCGGCGTCGATGTAAACTCCTCGAACTAGCACCGAGTTCGAGCAGTTCAAGAGGATCAACAACAGTAGCGACACACCATGAGTGATCCAGTTACTCATTAGCGGGTTTTCTGTAAAGTTAGATTGTAAAAGTTTCAATTTGTGTTCCGGAGGTTAATTCCTAGATTGTATACCTGGTAGGAAATAATCATCCAGCAGATGCCAGACTCCTCGCCAAACGTTGATTGTGGCAAGGAAGCTGAAGAAAAGGAACAGATCGGCGACTATAACACGCCATATTCCTGACAGCCGGTCGCACGTCCACCGCATCAGGGGTTGGAGGGAAAAGATGACAGCGGTTACACCGTAACCTATCAACTACAAAGGGGCATTAGCAACAAACGCTCAATTGATCTTTTCAATGTTCATATTGTTTGTCTGATTCGACGACAACAATGAACAGTGGTACAAAAAGATTGCCAGATTGAATTAACTTACCACTGAGGCCCATGCGGAGAGTGCGTGATCTTCGGGGAACAGTTTCAGATCTAGAAGAACCCAGAGGCCTCGCCACACAAATACTACTAGCGATCCGATTACTAGCACCGAAAACATACAATCTAGCACGTACAGTCCTGGCTCTTTGGAACCCTGAAAGGAAGAATAAATGAAATTTTAATATTAGTAACATTTTCTGGTTCGAAACATGGAACTGATGGTGGGGTAAGGTGGGGGAGAAATGTATGTCACGATATTTATCCCAAAATTTATTCACTGAAGAATGAAAATAAAAATGTTTAGTTTTTTGAATAGGGGTATTCTAAGATTTTGGAAGATGGTTTTCGGTTCTCGCAGAAGGTTTCGTTTTAGCTGAAAACTGCAGAGTTGAAAACCATAATTCAAGTTGACGTCCTAAGTAACATTGATCGATTCTCTTCATCGACTTTCTCTTTCGTTAGAACCGTTTCTTGACGTGTTTGTCGTATTAGAAGCAAGATATTATCTTCTTTCATTGATCTGTGTGCTGAAAAGAGCTGAGAATGGCCGTAAGCATGCAAAGAGAAAGTCGACGAAGAGAATCTGTCAATGTTACTTAGGACCTAATGCAATGTCCAACTTGAATTCTCCACACACTAAATATAAAATGGCAAAAGATTTTATTTCTTAGATTGGCAAGAAAGTGTGATGAAAGCTATGAGCAATTTGTAATAAATATAGGTTGAAATTTTTCAGATCAGAAGGGGTCTCATTGGAGAAGTCGAATCGAAGCGATTTTCGTATGAACGCTTGCATGAGTCTTGGTTACATAATGTGGGCCCTGTTTTCATAAGCATACATCCAAATATGAAACTATGATCAAACAAATCCCGCAGTGTCGACCCAGGACTTATGAATTTAGAGAACATACTGGATCCATTGTGCCTGTTGAGCAGACTAGCCCACAAAAATAAAAGTTCTAATTTTCCACGGGCCAACCTGTAGATTTGTGCCTTTAGATGAGAAAACCATTCTCTAGATTTAGGCAGCTTCTAATGACAACAGAAAATATGAATAATATAATTTGAACATTCAGGGCAATGCCTAAATTATGTCACGTAAAATTTAGGAAAATTGTAACCCCTTCTTTGTAAGTTATTTCGCCACGTTTTTCCTACACCTAATGCTTTGCTTTTCACATAATCGTGCACCCTCTCTCTGTAGAGCGTGATATAAAAATATACGCTTCCGATATTGGGGCCAATTTCAGAAAAGTTAGCATTTTTGATTTAAAGTTTAAAAATTAAAGATTGAGTTTTTTTTTCGCTATTGTAGTTTTCAACTGTTTTTTATTGTTGATCAAAATTTGTGATTTTTTACAGTGTGCATTTTTTTCTGAAAGGCCAATCCAGTTTCCAACAACTTTGTACGTTATTTCGATTAGATGAACCGTTTTCGTGCTATGTTATCAAATACGCCATTTTGAAAAATAAGCGCGAGTCAAAATGGCCGAATCCCAGCACAAACTTGGTTTATTGTCCCTAGCGAACAATTTGTGGAATTCGGAGAGGGTCGAGCTTGATCGATTCGTCAGTTGATGTCATGTAAGCTTCCAATTCCAATTCCAGTTATGTCTCGAGATTCTAACCAGTTGGGAAGTGGCTCTCTTCGGAAAAGTTGTTCAGATTACGCAAACCTTTCGCTTAGTTGGTATGTAAGTTCACAATTCTGACACTTTGCAGCGCTAGTGTGATTGTTAAGTTTAAAAGTTTAATATCTCGAGATCCTGCCTACCTGGGAAGTTGCTGTCCTGGGCAAAAGTGTTCAGATAGCCTAAACCTTTCGAATGGCGAGTATATTAGTTCAGTATTCTATCACTATGCGGTGCTAGTATAGAGTAAGATAGGGCAAAAGTTCGAGTAAGATGAAATTTCGCTTTGAGGTTTTCGACGACTGTGCATAAATAAAACTCATTGTTTTGACACTTGTCTGGCAGGTCATTTAGGGCCAGACTTTCCCACCGAAAATCTCACAAATTGGTGGTGCTTTCGTAGAGTTATATGTACAAGTGTGTTTGGGACGACACATTGTAACATTTGTACCAACTTTGGCGAACAACAAGAAAATTCAATAGTGAAAGAGTTATTTTATTTCAGGGCATGATTGCGTTTTCAACCCTTGTAATCTTTCACAAATCTCCATGAACATTTCAAATGGTCCTATCTGTTTTGATCGATTCTCTTCATCGACTTTCTCTTTTTATAATCACTGCTATGCAAACAGATTTCGCGCCAATTGTATCGTATAGTTTGATAAAGGAGGTTCTTATCTAGCATCCAAAACGTCAAATACAACAGGAAAAGGTTTTGCAGTTGAGTTAGTAACGAAAGAGAAAGTCGATGAAGAGAATCGATCAATGCAGATAGGACCTTTTGAAATTTTTATCTAGAAATGTCTAAAACGCATTTTTTTACTCTAAACAATCATAAATGGAGCAGCTTGTGACAAAAACCTCGAACAAATTGCGAACTTATTGTGGAAAAACACTATTTTTGAGTGGATTACGGTGTTCACCAAGTTCTAACAATATCTGGGCACAAACATGTGGTTTCATTATGTCCTTCATACCTTCATGGTGTTCATTTGGAAGTTCATATGCACACACACGACGCATAGTGAGTAAACTTCCAACTAACCTGTCCAATTAGTTAGGACCTCGAGATATAGCACATTTCGAAATTTAACACATTTTGTACACTAGCGACACGTAGTAGTAAAATTTTAAACTAATCTTCTCGCCATTCGAAAGGCAGATATCCAAACAACATTGCCGAAGAGCTTCTTTCTAAATGGGTGGAATCTCGAGATAAGATAATTATTATCGCCTTATATGGGAAATCTTCAGTTACGAAAATTGATGATAATGATCGAAGATGGTAATTGCATTATCGTTTTCAGAATTGTCCGCTGTGATTCTTTCGTTAGTAATGATCATTTTGAGATGATTTGTTTTGATGTTCAGAACTGTGATATTTTTTATTGTGTAATGGTCAAACAATGCCATTTTGATGATCCCCGTAAAAACTGCATGTGGTGCACTTCGGGCGGTACAGAAAAAGCATTCTAAACGCAGACAAAACCCCGAATCTGCATCCCTAGTAGCACGCTTGTCACAAATCAATTGTAGAAACTTATATACGACTTATTTCAGTCATAAACAAGTTGCTGTAACTTATTGTGATGAAAGTGTGCTACTCGGGATTATCTACGGGTGCGGGGCAATCCAGTGCAGCCTGCTAGAATCATTAAAAGTGGTTTTTAACGGTCAAACAATGTCATTTTTATCATCCCAACATCGGCTAAAATACATTTATTGAACTTCTGCTGTACCGCCAAAAAGCATTCTAAACGCAGTAAAAACCCAGAATCTGCATTATCTACAGGTGCGGGGCAGTCCAAGAAGCCTGCTAGAATAAATAAAAGTGGTTTTGAACGGTCAAACAATGCCATTTTGATGATCCCAACATCGGCTAAAATGTATTTATTGCACTTCTGCTGTACCGCCAAAAGCAATCTAAACGCAGTCAAAACCCGGAATAACTAATGAATACCTAATTCTGACCTGATACAAAAAAATAAATGCAAAATACTTTGTAAATAACTATAAAATTTGCTCATAAGTGTCTTATGAAATCTAAATTGTCCTGGTTCATAAGTCCTGCCCGAGCCAAAGTGTGTCACTTATGGTGGTAAGCTCCAGCTCGGATTAACTTTTAATACCGTCCCTGTTTAGATGATCTGCTAAGTGTTTGCTTAGAGTCGTTTTGATTAACTCTGATGTCGACATTAAAGCAGCCGGACAGTCTTGATTAGGATTTAATCCGAGGATAGTACCGGTTGGAGCTTACCACCATTAGAGTTACATTCTATTGGTCCTGCAATACGCGTGATAATCCAAGCAACACGCATGCTCTTTAGCAGTTTAAATAACCTTTGTATAACTGGTTTTGGTTGTATAAAAGATTAATCAACCTAAATCTATGAATTTGTATTACTTGAGTAGGGTTGGTTAACTTTGCAATCCCGGGTTCCCTGCTGCTCTTTGAATAAATTTGTGTGTGAAAAATTGAATAAATTTGGATTTGCGGGACGGTTTTAAAGTCAATGTTGGTCAATGTGTGGATTTTAACATAGCAATTTAATACTTTTTAAACTTTTTTTTTTTTTTTTAATTCTTTATTTAAGAGATTTTTAGCCTTAGGCTAGTTCATCTCTAATACTTTTTAAACGTTTCGCATACTAACATACGCATACTTTTCCCATACTAACTTTAAAATTCTTCCGTAGACCCAAATCGCAACCAAATTTGCTTTAATTTGTCACAGTTAAAGGGTGATACGGTCAAAATTTGGTCAATATCAACTTGACGTATTTCTTTCAATTTTGCATTTAAAAAACCTGAACACCCCTCATTTTGAAGGTGTGTGTGTGTAGAATGTTGCTCCTATTTTGATTTTGGAATTCACTCTTCAGTTGTCAAAATGCCGTCCAAGCAAGAAGAGCAGCGTATCAAAATTTTGCTCGCGCATCGCGAAAATCCGAGCTACTCGCACGCAAAGTTGGCAAAATCGCTAAAAGTTGCCAAATCAACCGTTACAAATGTAATTAAAAAGTTTGGGGAACGTTTGTCGACAGCCAGGAAGTCTGGATCGGGGGGAAATCGAAAACCGAAAGCCGCTGAGACGACAAAGAGAGTTGCCGGTAGTTTCAAGCGAAACCCTAACCTCTCTCTCCGAGATGCCGCAAATAAGCTGGGTGTATCGTCTACAACCGTGCATCGAGCCAAAAAACGAGCCGGACTATCGACTTACAAGAAGGTAGTGACTCCAAATCGCGATGATAAACAAAATACGACGGCCAAAGCGCGATCCCGGAGGCTGTACACGACGATGCTGACAAAGTTTGACTGCGTGGTAATGGACGACGAAACCTACGTCAAAGCCGACTACAAGCAGCTTCCGGGACAGGAGTTTTATACGGCAAAAGGAAGGGGAAAGGTAGTAGATGTTTTCAAGCACATGAAACTGTCAAAGTTCGCAAAGAAATATCTGGTTTGGCAAGCCATCTGTACCTGTGGCTTGAAAAGCAGCATTTTCATAGCTTCCGGGACTGTCAACCAAGAAATTTACGTGAAAGAGTGTTTGAATAAACGTCTGCTGCCTTTCCTGAAGAAACACGGTTGTTCCGTACTGTTTTGGCCGGATTTGGCATCTTGCCATTACGGTAAAAAGGCCATGGAGTGGTACGCTGCCAACAACGTGCAGGTGGTTCCCAAGGACAAGAACCCTCCCAACACGCCAGAGCTCCGCCCAATTGAGAAATACTGGGCTATTGTCAAGCGGAACCTAAAGAAGACCAAAAAAAACTGCTAAGGGCGAGCAGCAGTTCAAGGCAAACTGGCTTTCTGCGGCGAAGAAGGTGGACAAGGTGGCTGTACAAAATCTGATGGCAGGGGTCAAGCGTAAGGCCCGGCAATTCGGATTTGGAAAAGCGGAAGCCTAACTGAATATTTTTCCTGAATTTTATACTAATTGAACTTGAAAAAGAAATTTAATTTGATTTTTTAAATAAACGATTTCACCGATTTACACGCGTTTTCCCTTGACCAAATTTTGACCGTATCACCCTTTATTGGGGGCTTAAATACAAATATAAAAAAGCAGGGGGAATAAGGGTGTTGTAAAGTTTGCTTACCTACTATAAATCTTTTATACAAAACCACATGATAATCATATGTACCTATGGATGAAATGTTATTGGTTTATAGTTGATTTGATTGGGCGAAATGTAGCTGCAAATTATATTATTAATCACTAATTATGCACATACTTATGCAATGTACGTATATGTTTTATAACTATTATAATAATTTATATTCTTCTGTTTCAGATCTTCTTGGATACTATTTTTGTTTCAGTGTTAATAGGTGAGTGTTTATGTATTCAATAGAAAATAAATTTTATCATAGAAGCCTTCCATTAGTGGAGGAAAAATAACCCACTTTCTCCGCTAATGGAAAGCCTGTTGAATTCCCGGTTCTGTTGTATGGATCTATTTGGGTTGAACCTCCCTTAGCTCAGTCGGTAAAGGCGCAGGAAAAATCAGTCGGTAAAGGCGCAAGACCATGCTAGAGGTGGCTGGGTTCAATTCCCGGTCCGGTCTAGGAATTTTTCGGGTTGGAAAATTTCTCGACTTCCCCGGGCATAGAAGTATGATTGGACTTACCACACAATTATACCAATGCAAAAATGGTACGGGCATCGAAAGCTCTTAATTAATAACTGTGGAAGTGCATCTAGAACACTAAGTTGAGAGCACGCAATAAGTTAATATGCAATAAGCTTAAAAAGCGAAGAAGAAGAAGAAGAATTTTCACTACCCTTCGCCATAATGATCTACGGAAAAGCTTGCTGTCGGCCTGTCGGCCTCACAACATAAAGCATTGCGTAACTTCCCTAAAGTGGAATGGTATTGTTCAGCTTGTCGGAACTCGCCGTTCGATCTCGAACAATCATCAATCATTGAACTTGATTCTGGCTCGGCTGTCATCAATCGTACGTTTAGTTGGGGGCCAAATCTGTGTCACTCGCACATTTTGCGGTGCTCTCAATCCTCAACGACCCTAGTCCCTCGCAACAAGCACCCGTCAGTGAAGCAAGGAATTTCGAAGATGCATTCAACAACTTTCAATTCGAGTTTTCGAATGTCTTCAGATCCCTCTGATTGTGCATGTGGGCCAATAAGATCTACCCAAATTTTAGTTCAGTTTACTCATAATCGCAAAAAGTGCAGGAACTCAGCGATGAGTAAATTTATTCATGTTTTTCCAAATTTTTCCATGAAAAAAAAAACCCATTCCGAAAAAAGTAAAGATTGGATTCTCTCAGTCTATTGGTACTACTCCTAGACTGAGTAAAATTTTCGTCAATTTTCATCATTTTCGGCATATTTTTGAGGTTTCCCACAGCAAATCATGAGGCAAATTTACTCATCGCTGAGTTCCTGCACTTTTTGCGATTATCAGTAAACTGAACTCAAATTTTGGTTGCCTCATCTTGTTTCCAGATCGACAACTGACAGGAGTAAACTGTCAACACACTATAAAACGTTAACTCTAATTTGGGTAATCGATTTACACGGCCACTAAGAATACCCCCGATAGAGAGTCAGTTCTACCGTTCTACTCAGAGGTAGTATGGAGAAATTTCTAAAAACTGCAGTTTTTAGAAGTTTCTCATATAACTGAGTAGAAGTGACTCTCTGTCTGAGTTATTCTGAGTGGCCGTGTACACAGATTTGAGTTCACCAACATGTGAAAAAGACATGCAAGCCAAACGTAAACAATGCATTTTAGCGTCGATTGTTCACGAATTACAACACGCTCACACTAACTAGCTATAACATTCGATAGAGCAAACTTTCTCTCAGATGTTGCTGTCGGTTTTCGATAATGAGTCTATATTCACAAGTCATTGTTTACGTTTGGCACATTGTTGCTCTAGTTACTAGTTTCCTTCATCATACGTCAAAACAAAAACGATAAAGTTGAGTGTTGTGAACTGGACGTTTATGTGCAATCATTGGAAAAGTAGTGCATTGTCCGCTATGGTGAATAATTATAGTCTATTTTATCACAATACTGAGTGAAATTTTACTCAATTGTGAGTTTCGATAGCCTTGTTGATATTGAGCTGTCCACTGATAAGCGCTCAATTTACAGTGTACTTGTCACCTTTCGTGTCACTGGTGGCGCTAGTGTCGTGGAAAATCATATCTTGGGGATAGTGGGGATAAGTGGACCATATTGTTAATTTATAATATTTGGTTATAGCCTTCGCAAGCGATACAATTGACACCTTTATTAAAAAGCGTTGTGAATTGTTTGCAAGTATAAATCTTACCCATCGTAAAAGCAAAGTCGGTAAACAAATTGAAAGCAAATCGATATCAAAGTTTGCTGTTGCTATCATAATGACAAATTCATTTTGATTCCAATTGCGAAATAAGTCTGATATCATATCAAGCTTTCACTAGTTTTCAAAATAAAAGCAACTTAACTGCAAGTTTTTCTGCTATTGTCTTGTTGCAAATTTAATTTAATTTTATCTGTCGTTGACTAACGATTATTGTTTTGCTCAACACATTTTAGGTCATTCGTGACTTGTCCTGGGTGAGATTTGAACTCAAATCGTTCAGCGTGAGAAGCATAGAAATCAGAAATCAAATTGAATTCATTGAAAGCAGGATTAGTTTTCCAACAACAGAGTAAAATTTTGCTCTTTTTTTTTGCTGTGTTGACCGTTAATATATACAAAACGAGATCAACTGGAGCAAATGCTGGTAGATCCTGACGCCCTGTTTACATTATGCTGGCTACTTTTTAGTACAGTTCTAGTACACTAGCGTTAGCAAATTAACACAGATGTAAACACCACATAAACCTTGGAAAAATGGTATTTTACTACGTAGCTACTCAGGTGTTCTGTCCTGCCCATGTTTTTAGTCAGATGAGTGGAGCGACAGACAATCGTCTAGAATGAGCTTCCAAAAGAGGAATATTAAGAAGCTACTTGTAGAACCTTCTTTAGAAGCTTCTTTTAGATGCTTTTTCTTTAGAATCTTCTTTTAGAAGTTTATTCTAGACCGCTGCCCGTCGCTTCGCTCCTCTGACTAAAAAATACGGACAGGACAGTAAATCTGAGTAGCTTAGCAGTGAAAGAGCATTTTTCCAGGTTTCCAAGGAGTATTTCAACGCTTTACGGCGATAAGATCCAGCAGCCTGAGCTCTGATGTCACTTCGAATTTTTCAAGGGACAACCGGCAAATATGGAAATGCAAATGAAATACCTGAAATCGCAATAGTGTATGAGATTACCTCTCTATAAAACTCGAAGTGGCAGTGCAAGTGCCTATGATTTGTGGACGCTGGATTGCATCACCTTAATATTGCAGAAAACATTTTCTCGACCCCTGATAAATCGGATTTTCAACAGTAACTTTTTATACATTGATTTCTCTCTCTGGCACTTTATGAACTTTACATGGCGCTCATTTTTGCAAAAGAACTCCAAACGTGTTTTTTTTTAAAGGTAAATTTTTTCACGATATTTGTATATAACATTCCAAAAAAAAAAGAGATAGAAACTTAGTTTTTTCGACAAAACTGTGTGTTATCAAAAGTTTCTACACAGCAAAAAAATAATTTTGATATCACGTCAAAGTGGATGCACTACAATCATGTCGAAAATATGGTGTAATATTACTTGCTAAAAAGGACAAAATTATCATTAATACAATGCATGAACTGACATTACGCTGCTTTTACTGCATTTGTTTATTTATGTGGTCATAAAAATTACATGAAATTTTCGACATGATTGTAGTGCATCCACTTTGATGTGATATCAAAATTATTTTTTTGCTGTGTAGATCAAATTTGGTCTGCCCTATTAGTGTGGTCAATTTTGGTTTGTCCTACATACACACTTAGAAATACCTAATTTTACACATGACGGAATTCATCTTTCACATACAGGATGGGACGTAAACAAACATGTCATGTAATATTAAGTGCTGCGAGACTGAAAAGTTCATTATTCGACTTAGAAAACTTGATGTAAATTTAGGTGCTTTGAGACTGACATATACGAGCGTCAATTTTGACATAAAATTGATTCATAATAGACGCGAAATTCAGCTCAATCAAACGTACTTTCGAACTTTTCAGTCTCGGCGCACTTAATTTTACATGACATGTTTGCTTACGTCTCATCCTTTATGTCAAAAATGGATCCCGTCACGTGTAAGATTAAGTATTTCTAAGTGGTTACCTCTCACCCCAGCAGGCCTGGGTTCAATCCCAGTCGGCGCCGCCGGGATGTTCTGAGGCATAACATCTCTGATCACGCCTTCCTTCGGAAGGAAATCAAAGCCGTTGGTCCCCGGTTCATGAATAGATGGGTCGACAGTAGGGTCCAGGTGTGGGAGCTGCCTCCCTGGCGTCGGTAGCATTGGCGCTCAGCACGGAAAACAAGATCGACGGAAAACAAATCAAGGAAAAAAGTGTGTACGCTTTCAGCTTGTCCTTTTTGAAAAAGATGCTGCACTAGACACAAGTCATTCAAAACAAAATTCAAGGAGTTCAACATAGTTGCAATTTATAGAAGAACGAGCGGCAACCTTCAATAACCAAAAAAAAAGTCTTCATACAGGGTCGAAACGCAGAATGAAAAGGTAAAGCATACACGGCGACTGACAACGACAACGACCCAAATTTAAGTTTTCGTTAAGTTAAGTTAACGTTTTAGTTAACTCATAAATCGCATAAAGTGCAGGAACTCAGTGATGAGTAAATTTGCCTCATGAATTTTCAGGTTTGTCGAGGAAAAACTTCCCGAATATGAGAAAAGTAGACATTGGATTCACTCAGTAAATTTACTCATCGCTCACTTCCTGCACTTTTGGCGATTATGAGTGAACTAAACTCAACTTTGGGTCGTTCTCATTCGCCGTGTAGACAAACAGCTCTTCATTCTGGATATTCATCGACGTTTCTATAAATTCTGTTTACCTTGCATGCAACATTCTTTGCGACTAAGCATACAAGCTTGTTTTCCGCGAGAAGCTCGTTACTAATGTCCTATTTTTTAGGAACAATGTTTTCAAGAAAAACTTATTCAACTAGTTACGTCTGGTTGTCTGTGGTAATACATTGTTACATTTCTCGCTAAGAGTTAGAAACATGTCGGTTAATCTATTCAGCATTTTACCATTCAGCACGGATAGTTCAAGTGTGGATCGCAAGCATCATATTTATCAACATAATTTGTTTGCAAATAATCGTACGTACACCTCTGTACGTACACGCTTTAATCGTCATTTGGCATCCCTTAGTTTTAGCCAATTTGGCTACTTAAAAAAACAGCACTTATTCATCCAGTAGAATAATACATATGGCTGAAATCCGGTTTATGCAAGGAGAAAAAAAAAACCTTATGTGGCCTATGATTTTGTATTTCTTAGAGCAAATTAGCATTGTTGAAACTAATATTCTATTTGGTTAATACCTACTATCCTTATCTGTAGCTCTATGTGAAATGGGAAATAAATTGGAAGTTCCGGTTGCCGTATTTCATTACAAGCGAAAACAGTTCTAAGGCCAATAATTCTCCGATTAGCGTTCATAATTGCAGCTTAATTAGGCAATGATAAAAGTGCGTTCATTGAAAGCTTGGATACAAATTGGTAAGACTATGACGTCGCAGTTTGAGATCAATTAAAGCTAATTTATTGCTTACCGTCAATTTGAAATAGGTTGGAACATCGAAGTATTCTCGCCGGTGGTCGTTGACAACGTAAAATGGTGATGCTGTGATATTACGTAGGCCTTTCAGCATTGCCAGTAAAAGAGCACAACCTAGCGTAATCACTAGGACAGTGGCTACGTCGTGTGTGGTGTAGAGATTAATCATCTCCCATCCTCCGCGCCATGTGTTGACGCATATCGTGCCGTAGATTTCGGTGTACAGTCTTGATCCGATGAAGAACAGTAACCGATGTTTGTCGGCATTTAGGTGCCGTCGGATGGTCCCTTGGAAGATGTTGAATATGAGGTGCCCTACTATGCCGATGGACAACGATATGAAAAGACTAGTTGGAAGATCTGATGGATAAATGTATGCGCCAGCTAGATTCCACGTGCCACGCCAATAACCGACCACGAGGGGTCCTACGATGAATGATGCAAACAGGTTGTCTAGTAGTTCTAGCAGCATCCCGTGCATGTTGCCGGGCTTTGGATTGCTGAGGCCATCCTCTATTCCAACTATACTGCCCCGCATAATGTTTCGACTTGTGTCGTTCGGAGGGTTTCTTCATATAAAACTATTGGAATGCAAGTGCATGAATATTATCACACAGACACTTTTGCTTTGTACAGTGAAAACACGTTGGCACTAAATTAGGTAATTCGTTTAAGTTTGTCACTCCGGGTGCCTTGCTCGGTAAAACTGCCTGATCCGATTCATTTCCTTTTGTACGCACTAAGTTTTGCTACTTATAATCAATAAACGGTGGAATTCAGCATTTTTCTATTCTGTGCTGCAAAATAAGTTTCTTTGTTTATAGAATCAGATCGGGAGACAATCTTCCCTTGAATGGGATATATTCAGCGTCAGGCGTTCTGTTTTATATGGTGATAAATTTAAGCATGCAGCTATGCAAATTGTTTTCAAGATAAGAGTCTTCAGCTATCTATTAAAGTATTGGCGTCTGGATTGTTCTGAGTGTGGTTTAGTTGTTACTTTGGCCCATTGGTGATTGCTCTTGATTGATGGGATTCGCAAAAAAATGATTCTGCGGCTTTTGAGATGATAAGACGGTAGCATGATAATTATAAACAAAACAATGCACGTGTTGAACAGACGCGTGGGCGTGATTAGGAGCAACCCACCAAATAGATAAAGAAGATGCTTTTTTTGTGTCTACCTTATTAGAGCACTATCGATGACTACTATTGCGTCGGCAATATTTGATTTTTTCTAATCAAATTACCGAGAATACTTCATTGAATTTTACCACATTGAATTGATTGAACATTACAAGGGTTCAATATACGCAAATAATCAGTGGTGTCTAGAGATAACGGCTAGAAACCTCTATTAGATGCTGTTGTTAGTTTGTTGTGAAAAGTTGGCCTTTTAAGTAACGTCTGATACTAGAACACAATGGTATTCAAAATATCGGCTTGAAATTGGATTGATAAGAATACAAACAATTACAAGTAGAGATGTTAACGCACTTTGGTGCATCGTTCATTCTATTATACCATGAATGAACGTATTGTTAAATCGAATGCAGTCAATTTCTAGAAATGTCCAAAAATAGATTGATCAATACTAGTATTTTCCTGATAAAATTTGAAAAATTTCGGTACCTCAGAGCCGTGATTTGACTGAAGATTCATCGGAGAACGTACTCGAGTGCACCCAGTGAAAAAAGGGAGCTTACGTGGTGAAAAGTTTTTTTTGCTTCGGAAAACCTAGTCAGTAAAGACAAGGTATTACCATGCCGGAGACGGCGCATTAGATTCCCGGTCCGGGTTAGAACTGTTCTCGACTTCCCTGGGCATAGAGCTTGCCACGCAATACACAAATTCTTGCATTGGTTGGCATAGAAAGCTCTCAATAAATAACTGTGGACGTGGATCTAGGATACTACGTTGAGAGCCGGCAAAGCGGTCTCTTCAGAAGCGCAAAAGCCTAGCACAAGTAGAAGGTGAAGCAGCGCCGGTAGTGTAGTGGTAAGCGTGATTACCCCTCACCCCAGCAGGCCTGGGTTCAATCCCAGTCGGCGCCGCCGGGATGTTCTGAGGCATAACATCTCTGATCACGGGAAGTAAAGCCGTTGGTCCCCGGTTCATTAGTTGATGGGTCGATAGCTAGGGTCCAGGTGTGGGAGCTGCCTTCCTGGCATCGGTAGCATTGGTGCTCAGCACGGAAAACAAGATTGACGGAAAACAAATCAAGGAAAAAAAAGAGTAGAAGGTGAGAATTTTAAAGTTTGCTCGAGAGAACAACTGCTAGATTAGCTAGTTTTTGATAATCTGACATGAAATTTAACAAAGATTCAGGTGATAGGATCTTGGTATTACTTAGGTAAACAGGTCTTTAGGGAACATGCTTAAATGGCGTAGCATTTGAGGGTGGAGGGAGGTACCTAATTACATGGCCGGTCACATCTGAACCATCCCTCCCCCTCAAATTATACGTACCAAGAACGTCTCATCAACATTGCATTGTCTCCTAAATGATATGGTTATCTTTTGATAGTGAGACCATTGTCAAATACTTCGTAGATTTTTAAATATCAACTCCAGAATAGTTTGGATGGACTACGTCATGTGATTATCAGTAATGAATTAATAATAGTTCTAGTCAAACATAGCTTGGCTATCTCAATGGATAAAGGCTAAAAGTTCTTTTGGAAAATGACTTAGGCCATCAATCTGGCGATAAACTTGCAATTCTACATTATTCTTGTAGGTAGCGGACAATTGTACAAAACGCACCTCCTGGGTGGACCGCAGCTGTCTTTCAATTGTGTTTTTCATGGTAGCACTTCTAGCATAGCATCTGATCTCGAAATGCTGCATAATGAGTCATAGAATGGGATTAAAAATACCAAGAATAACTCTAAATAAAATGAAAAAAATGGGTGCTACCCCGGGGTGCGTTTTGTACCATTTTCCCCTACATATAGCTGAGGGGCAATAAACAACAATCCTATTTGTTCCTGCTTCTTCTTATGTTCCTAAATCATCACTTTCTATGCGTATTCGTAAAATTATTCGGCAGTGTGCGTCCCCGTAGCTGCATCTACCAAAGCTATTTACAGCCATTCAAAGTGTTTTTATGTTACTTCATACGCGAAGTTTGAGATTTGCAGGGTTGGTTGGAAATGCTATCTAACATGAAGCTTTAGTGTGATGATTAATTAGCTAGAGAATGGTCTTAGAAGAGGGTAGGTAGATAGTTCCGTTAGAGTACACCAAAATTAATGATTTTTATCTGAAATTCACATCACATTCATATGATCACAAGAATTCTATGTGATAAATCAAATAAATTTTATTGGACACATAAGGTTTTTGTGATTTTGAAGTGAGATTCTCAATTATGAGGTCACATGAAAGTTATGTGACATTCTAATGCATATTTTCCATTACAAATGTGATTTACTTTTTGAGTGTACGGCTGTATGAAAATTGAACAGAAGTTGAAAATGAGCGAAGGGCCATTAATGCGACAGTAAGAAAAAAACACTTTGAATGTAACAACTTAAGGTGGGAGTAGCCGTCAACAATGCTGATGATGGTACAGCACGCAACCTTCTTCTTCTTCTTCTTCTTCTTCTTCTTCTTCTTCTTCTACTTCTTCTTCTTCTTATTCTTCTTCTTCTTCTTCTTCTTCTTCTTCTTCTTCTTCTTCTTCTTCTTCTTCACATTTCAAGTTTAATGCTTATCGCATTTTAGCTTATTGCGTGCTCTCAACTTAGTGTTCTAGATGCACTTCCACAGTTATTAATTGAGAGCTTCCGATGCCTGTACCGTTTTTGCATTAGTATAATTGTGTGGCAAGTACAATCATACCCTATGCCCAGGGAAGTCGAGAAATTTCCAAAACCCGGAAAATTCCTAGACCGGACCGGGAATCGAACCCAGCCACCTCCAGCATGGTCTTGCTTTGTAGCTGTGCCTTTACCGACTGAGCTAAGGGTATACCACGCAACAACCACCCTACTGCTTTCTCTCTGAGATGACTAAGTTTGTCATGACGAGAGGAGCAACACAATAGTTGGGTAAAGAAGAATTGCATTATAACACACCATCGACTGGAAATGCTTTCGGCAACTTGGGGCTTTAGGTAGTGATGAAACGTCGGTAGAACCATTCCACAGCCGCAGACAGTATATGAGCAAGTAAAGCGCACACTTTTTTGCCTGCAAATCTCCGCGTACGGGTTAGTCAAAGAAGTGTGTGTTTAACTTGTATTGTTGCATTAATGACCCTTCGCTCATTTTCAACTTCTATTCAATTTTCATACTGCCGTACTCTAACGGAACTATCTACCTACCCTCTTCTAAAACCGTTTTCTAGCTAATAAATTATCACACCAAAGCTTCATGTTAGATAGCATATAAACTAACTCTGGTCAACGGTCAGTTTTTCATAGTTCGATATTTTCCATAAGTCGATGGATCTAACGGCCCTAATATTTCCATGTATCGTATTCTCAATATTTCCACACGTTCATGCCACCTTTGGTCGATGATCTGATAACTGGTTGTTTCTAATTTTGAACCAAACGTCAGACTATAAATTTTCACCTTATCTCGGTCCATTGCGCCAAGGTTCAGCCATAATCTACCGTATGGATGATAATGTTTGCACCATCATATACGAATACAAAATACGGAGGTGCATATCGTTTTGTTTTTTTTTTTTAAATCTTTATTTAAGAGATTTTTAGCCATAGGCTAGTTTGTCTCTAAGGTGCATATCGGCATTATTATTAAGTATGTCCTTCGGTTGATAACTTTAGCAATATGGAGAGCCGAATGTGGTCTTTCAGTAAGACGGGGAACCATGCTACACCTCGACCCGCACGCAGTATTGGCTGAATGCTCCCGTTCTAGCCGAAAGATGAATGGCCGCCATTCAGCCCCGATTTTAACCCCTTTGATTATTAAGTGTGGTGCGTCATGAAGGCCAATGCATTTGCCAAACGCCACTCCAGTACAGCAAGCTTCGAACAAACATTGACCTGCGCCTGGAGAGATATGGATCCGGACTATATTATCAGAACCTGTCGAGTATTCCGGAAGCGTGTTGAGGCCGTAATTGCGGCAAATGGAAATTCTATCGACGATTAAGTTCTTACAAACATAACCTTTTTGAATACAATATTTTTTTCCACTCCGAAAATTTTTGTTTGTTTTCACAGTGTTTAATAGTGTAAAAATTATCACACATACGGTATAACTTGTTATCAACTCATAGTATAATCCATAACAGTTATCAACTGATAACACTAGTTTACAAAACAACATAAAAAGTGTGAACTTTAGTGGTTGACCAACGTTTCTAATGCAAAATCCTATGCTGAATTCAATACCGTGGTCAGAAAAAATTAAAGGAGGAATGCGAGGAAGACTTCGAGGTGGAATTGGAAAGAAACCCAAAACTGTTTACACAATCCGAATTTAATGATTTGGTGCGAGATCTCGACTTATCGAAGGAGAAATCCGAATTGCTGGCATCACGCTTGAAAGAACACAACATGCTGAGCAAGGAGGTCAAAATTTCTTGTCACAGGAATCGTCACAAGAAATTTGACAAATATTATTCTACAAAGGACAAGGCATGTTTTTGCCATGACGTAAACGGCTTGTTTGAAGAGTTTGGTGAGCCATATGATCCAGCTGAATGGCGTTTATTCATCGATAGCAGCAAGTTGAGCTTGAAAGCCGTTTTACTGCATCAAGGGAATGAGAAACCTTCTATTCCATTAGCTCATGCCGTTAATATGAAGGAAACGTATGAATCAATGGCTCTATTGCTCAATTTG